CCAAAGTCTCTTGTTTGTACATAGAACTAGCAATAGTTAGAGACACCCAGGGCTCACCCCCTGGCGGCCTTTGCCCTGATCAGGGATAGTGGAAAACGTGCAAGTCACGAGCCACGGCCGTAAAATACACACACACACACACACACCCCCTATTCTAGTCCTTCAGCGAGTTCTTATTGTACATACCTAGTCATAGGTTTTCCTACGGTCTAGCCCGTAACACTGCTCCACATATTCACAACTTTAACGCAGCTCACCTTTCGAATCCCCTGATGAAGAGTCTGGGCGAAAATCACTGCTTCAACACCCTTATTTACTTTCTCTTTTCCTCTAAACTGATCCTTCCTCTTCCGAACTTGGCTGTTCCGGGGGAGTTTGCGGTTGACGACACTTTCCAGCGCCCGGGCGTAGTCGATTGATAGAGCCTTGCAGTAGCGCCTGCCCTTACTGTTCTTCTTCAGCGCATGAAAGAAACTCATAAAGCTGCCTCGATGTAATAGAGATTTCTTGATTTAGACTAGTGTGCCTTTGTGAGAGTTCCTCGGTTGCGAATTGACTGGAAGAACTGAATGCGAGTTCTGCAATGCGCCGCTCCCAACATCAATGAGCAGGCCTGTTATATCAGTGTGGTAAGTCTCATAAGAGACCAATAGAGTTCCAAATCCAACTCACACATGCTAGGTGGCTGCCATTGTTTACGAAAAATGTCGCTATGAATAATCCGGGAGATAAAGAAGATATACAATCCTGAAGTCTGTGTTTGATTTGAGGAAGCGTCACTCATTCCTTCTCCTGTGGACTTCCCGTGGAACAGAGGGAATTCTCCACTTCAATGTTCATGCTTCTTTCTCTGGCATATTTAAACCACTCTCTTTGAGAAATCTCGGTCCCCTCTCACCCAACTTGGGATACTTGCGCAATGCAAAGAAGTCCAACCAAAAATTGCGAGCTTCAGTATGATCAGGCATGTGCTTGCATAGCAGCTCTTTCCATTCTTTATCCTCTTGTCCTAGACCGATTCCTGCGCAAGTAAACTCCCACCAAACAGGAAAATAGCCCGAGGATTCCCAGTCCAGAATCCCCGTCAAGTTACCGTTCTCGATGATGATATTAACATTAGTCAGGTCGCCATGAGTGAAAGTATATGGAGCCGCACTTGGCATCCGCTGACGCGATTTAGAACGAACTTGCTCCGGAACTTGGGCCAAGGACAGTGACATCTCAGCCCACAGTTCATCGTCTGACGAAAACGGTCCATGCCCAATGCCGTAGCCATTTAGAAACAGAAAGGCTGAATAGATGGGCTGTCCGCTGACGCTTTCCATCTGATTTGAGCGAAGTTGGCAAAGCTGCATCAGATACTCAGCGGTCTGCTTTGCGACACATTCTTTGTCCTCCCATGACATGATAGGCCAAGCTTCGCTCAATGGTTGGCCCCGAACTCGCTTGGTAAGGAGGAAGTATGCTCCGTCATCTTCCTGCCATTCTTGTCGATAGACTGTTCTTTCAGAATTAGGTTTGAGCCCAAAGACCATGCCCCTCGATTGCTGACGCGGTAGAAGTCTCACGTGACTGTTGTAGCAACACTCGTCTTGATGTGTCGGTGACGCTGAACAAATATTCTTGGTAGCCATATGGGGAATGTAACAAGAATTAGGACTGACTTAAGGGATGATCGTAAGGACAGGCACATTCGTAGGTCTTATACCAACACCAGGAGGGGCAGACAAATATAGCTAGCCATGCTTGACCATGTTGACGCTTAGACTGTATAACTAAATGCCAACTATATGCAGAATTACTGAGCACCTGTTTTGGTCACATTTTTGCGCCTATGCTAAAGTCATTTGAAGGCATTCCTGCTATTCATGACCCAGACGAATACTTTCACATGAGGCGGTGTGTGACCGTATCTACAAGGAGAACCTCTTATGGATCCGGGGCTACGGCAGATGATCTTATCAAATTTCATGGCATGATCAGAAATTTCGGACTGCGTGACTATTAGTGGATAAAATTGCCTGAAAAAGACAACAATTTATGCCAAAGCCATACAAAAACACTTTCGCTCTGATAGCTGTGGTTCACAGAACCACCTCTTCTGAGAATGAATGAATGAATGAATGAATGAATTATTCCTCCGGCTGTGCGCAGCCTAAGGCTGCATGTAGCTTCCGTGCTAATTATGCTGAGTCATCTATCTAGCATGTGACATGCCTTTTTCTAGTTTTCGTGGTTCAATTGCCCTGTTGCCATGGCGAATTGTATTACTGCTTTAATAACCTCCATGTTTGGTCTCCAGTTCTTTTCCTGGTCAAGTTCTTGTCCTGTCGGTCCCTTTTGACTTGACCGGCCTCCTAACGCATATGATATGTCCCTGTATCGATTGCCCATTGCTTCTATCATTTCCCCCTGGTATGTGTCCCATTATTTGCAATTAAAGAGGAAATGTTGTACTGTTTCTTGCCCCTCTGCGCAGTCATAGGTTCCACCAGCTGCTTGTCCAATCCGATGTAGGTATTGATTCAATTAATTATGGCCTGTTCGAAGCTGTGCCAGGGCTGATGCTTATGTCCTGCTGAGCTGATCGTATAGGGTTCTAGTATGTCTTCCTGGTAGGGATGCATCGATCTCCCTTGTATACTTTCCGAAAGGATTTTGTAGGAATTGCTCCTTTCATGCTTGGTTAAGTGTATTCCGCAGTTCCCTCCAAGCAGTGGATCTTGCGCGTTAGGTTGCCCAGGCTGGTGGATTTAGCTGACTTCCTTTCTGGGTGGCATATTGGCTCGCTGCCTTAGCCATCTGAAGTCCTTTGTTTTGTAAATCATTTGCTGTCCATCTGATTATAAGCTGAATCTTGATTTGCAGCATCTCCTTGATCTGTTTTATGATTTGCTGTATGACTTGCTGTCCTCCCTGGGATGCTTAGTTAGTGATAACCTGTAGGCTGGATTAATTAGTTGAATAAATTATGATACCCATGAGGTCTGTCAATGTTGGGGGGCCTTAAATTAGTTCCTGTGCTAGCTGGAGTGCTTCCAGGATAGCGCCAAGCTGGGCGATGTGTAGGTCTATATGGTGGTCTGTCGCCACTGTTGTGGAGGTTGATTTTATAACTTGATCCCTAATCACCACCGCCAGACCAATTCTAATCAGATTATTCCGCGCTGATCCGTAGACGTAGATTTTGATTTTTGGTCTCTCAAAGGCTGTTACTGGGGTTTTTAATCCCTTATGATTTATAACCTTTTGCCAGTCTAACTCCCATGGGGCAGAATAGTATGGTTTGATTATCTCCATGCGACTTTGTTCAAGTGGCAGAACCTAAGAGAGTAATCCAAAAGGTGATCTAGACTGCTAGTTGATGCTCTGTGTACACCCAGTAAGTGGGTGGGTACTTAGTAGGCTGTGGCATCCAATCCAGTGGCGGAAAATCTGCTTTTAGATACAGATATCTAGAGGTTCAATGCTAGCTTCGGCTTCTGTGATTGCTAGGGAGACTGTATGGTAGATCCTAGCTATACTCTTTGCTGCTGACTTTTGGATCACATTTAATGGTTTAACAACCCACCTTGGGATGTGCCCATGTTTGTTCACTGTGGTCCAGACTGATGAAGCATAGGTGATGGTTGGCACTACCAGGGCTCTGTAGAGCTGCCGCGCACTTTGTGGTCAGAGACCTTTCAGCTGTAGTAGCGCTTGGCTAGCTTTGATGCCTCTCTTGGTGGCCTGGCCAACATGTTCTCTGAACCGGAGTTGTTCGTTGAAGATGACTCCTAGGAGTTTGACTGTATTGCTTGGGCAGATATTCTGTGTTCTAATGCGTAGTACTTGTCTTAGGGAGGGATTCCGTCTAGTAGTCCTTGTGAAGTGGATGAACTGGGTCTTCTATGCTTCAAATATTGCCCCTAACCGCTTTACCCATCCTAGAGCATGAGGGATTACTTTTTCCTGAAGGACTAATGTATTCTCATCTGCAGATTATCCCATACACCAGCATGTGAAATCATCTACAAAAGCCATTGAACCCCTACTCTGGTTAATTGGTATCTCAATCAGGTCCGCATTGAAGAACAGGTAGAGGATAGGTGACAGAGATGAGCCTTATGGTAATCCTGGGTATGTAATCTCCATGGCTTCTAAGCAATACTCATTGACAATGATTAATGCGCTTCGGTTTAAGCAGAATACATCAATCCACCTTACCAGTTCAATTAGCACTTTTCTTTCCTGGAGTCGCCGGATCAGGACCTCCTTTATCACCCTATTGTAGGTGCCTTTCACATTAAAGCTGACTGCACTAAGGACCTTCTTTTCTCTCCATGCTTCATGGATTTTTTCCACTAAGAGATTTAAAGCCTGTTCACTTGATCGTTTCTTTCTTGCCCCAAAGTAGTTAGGTGGTAGGAGGGCAAAGACCTCAGCATAATATGACAGCCTTTATGTGATAACTGCTTCCAGCATCTTGCCCAGGTTAGATAGTAGTGAGATTAGTTAATATGAGTTTAGTAGTGTTTCGTCCCGTCCTGGTTTATGCAATAGGATGATCTTTGCCACCCTCCATCTCACTGGGACATAGCTAAGCTTGATTAAAGCGCGAAAGATCTGACATATATCTTCTCCTAACACTGGCCATAGTCGCTGCCATACTCCTGCTGGGATCTGGTCCTCTCCAGGAGCTTTCCATGGATTAACCCACATTACTGCTCTTTTTATCTCTTCATCTATGATTGGATCCATTTGTAGAGAGGGCACATTAGGATCCCCTAATAGTTCTGAGCTTTCTGGGGTTGGTGAGAAGAAGGCAGAGAGCAGGGACTTTGCTTTCTCTTCCTCTGTTTCCGCTGTAGGTCTCTCCCCATCAGCACAGAGTGATGGGATCAGCTTCTTGTTATTTATCTCTTTAGTGTATCGTGCCGCTGTCTAGATATTCTCTGTTTATTCTAGGAATTCTCTCTAGTGCTTATGTTTCTGGTCACGAATGGCAGTATGGAATTGATGGTGAAGCTGTTTAACTTGGCTCTCTATATCAGGCTGGTTCACTCCATATTAATGAAGCTGTGTCCACTGGTTTTTAGCATAGGTATAGGTATTGCGGAGTTCTGTTAATTCTTCTGTCCACCACCATTTGCAGTAGGGTGAAGGCTTTGCTTATGGTATACAGGCATTAAGAGTTTCTGACACCTTTCTCATTATTAATCTAAGCTGTCTCTCCAGCTCTACTGAATCCTGTGTGTCTGGGAGGGTTATCCTGTTATGGCTTATCCTGGTAATGATTTCATCCCATAGGGCCTTTTTCCACATGTATCGCGGAGGGTCGGTTATCTCTTTGGTAGGCCTTTGTTGGACGAGACTGCCATACTCCACCCGCGTTCCGAGCTCCAGAAGCCAAATTCGAATCACAGAACCCGCTCGCATATCCCTCGGATATCTGGAGTCTGGCTACGGCAATCTGGGAGATCATTGGAATGAAGGCAATTTTTAGCACCGATTTTGTGCATGAGGATGAGATAGTGTCTCAGCATATAGATGTACTGGGGCCTATGCCTTCCGAGTGGTGGCAAAGCTGGGAAGGACGGTCTCGATTCTTCGATGAGTATGGGTGTCCAACAGAGTCGCACAGGGAAAATAGATGGCCTACTCTTGAAGAGTCATTTGAGATCGGTGTGCAGAAATGGAGGCGTAGGGATGGAAACGAGATTGAAGGAAACGAGAAAGCTGCTTTTCTGGATTTAATGCGCCAGATGCTGTCATTCCGGCCGGAAGAGCGACCGACTGCTGAAGTGGTACTAATGTCGGAGTGGATGGTTAAGTGGGCATTGCCTGATTTCAGGCGGAGCTCAATCCCTTTGAAGCGGTGGAAACTCAAGATCCATGAAGCTATTGTCATATTCCAAGGACCGACGCACAGTTCACCACATAAACAAGGCTTGAAGCTGGCATGTGGAAACAGAAAGTTTGAGAAATGGTAGAAAATAGTAGGAAGTGTGCCCATAGTCCACGGGGAGAGGCACAGAAATAGTATGGTCAGGGTGAAGGCTAAATAGTAGTATCTCAAAGAGATTATATAGGTGCACTGTCAGATAAGGGGCTAGCCCTCACTGCACCTTTTTGACCAGCGAGGACTACAGGGGGACTTCAGAAACAGTATAGTAATGCTGAAGGCACACAGAGAATGAGCTATGTGTGAGGCAGTGACTATGGGCAATGTAACAAACCTCAGAGTGCCAACATGACAGTATACTTCGAAAATCCCTGCTGTAGTGTATGTCTACTATGTACATCAGACTTCTTGAAGCATGTATCCATCGTTGCCTGACATCTACTACCGATCAGCCACTCCAAATTGAGTACGGACTGAAGAAAAACTTGAGTATTGATATTGAACCCCGAAATGCTAGATTCCACTGTACTGTGAGATGTCCAGCAGGTTCATTGTTGACGCCAGGGGCAACTCAAAATTCAGCCTGCATTGACTCTGATGGCACCTAGCCTTGACCAGGTAGGTGTGAGTGCCTGCGCTTGAAAGATGGTTGGACACCGCTCTCATATGCCGCTGAGTAACCTTAAAATCGTACAAAGCGAGGCTATCCACTGCCGAAGGCGCTTCCGATGGATGTGTTTTAGGAAGGAGATCTCCATTACAAACATGGCGCTTGCTCGTTAGAGTTTTTAGTTTGAATTAGTCCTTTTGCAATTGTCTAACGGTCGACTCGTACACATGACATCCCCTTATTATTATTGTTGTTGCGCTGTCGGCTCCACGAGCTCCACCAAACAGGCACAAAGTCATTGGAAGGGGAAAGTTTGGAAGCTTCCGAGGCGTTGCGGGCGCTGTGGGGAAGTTACGAGGACCGCCATTTTGTAATTGGCCAATTCCTCTCAAACTCGATCGAGATCGTCAGTCTAACGGTCAAACTTGGATGTTTTGGCCCCCAGTAACCTCGGATATACTCCGTCGAGTTCCCCTCTTTCTCTTCCCCGGTGCCCCGTTGGATACCTCATTTCTTCTTGCTTTCCTGCCAATTTCATATTATATTATTATAGGTTGAACTCAAATCCACTGAATAGCATTGTTTGTTCCTTTGTTCTCGTGTTTGCCTTATCCTTTCGACATTCGCATTGTCCTTACCAGGTCATTAGCAATATGTCCACCTTTGACTTTGTCATCGTCGGAAGTGAGTAATCTTCGACACTACCTAATTTTGATACTTCAACAGACGTCCCATTGCCGAAACTAATCCCATCTAACTAACACATCGCACAGGTGGCCCATCAGGCAGCGCCCTTGCCGCTGGCCTCGCCAACTCCGCCGCAAAGCCCCATGTCCTCCTCCTGGAAGCAGGCGATCATAACGAAGATCGGAACCTCCGCGTCGACGGCCAACGATGGATCACCTTCCAGAACCAGGACATGAACTGGGGGTACAAAACGACCCCACAGAGTGACTGCAACGACCGCGAGATCGACTACAGTCGCGGCCGGTGCCTGGGCGGGTCGAGTGCCATCAACTTCGGTGTGTACAGCGTCGGCGCGCGCGACGACTACCAGGAGTGGGCGCGAATCGTGGGCGATGAGTCGTTTGCGTGGGACAATATCCAGCGAAGGTTTAAAGAGCTGGAGACATTCCATGGGGAGATTCCTGTTGGCGTGGCGAGGAAGTATGCGGATCCGAAGATGGAGGATCATGGGAGCAAGGGTCCGTTGCATGTCGGCTTTGCGCGGGAGTGGGAAAAGGATTTGACGGAGCTTTTGGATGTTTTTGAGCAGGCTGGATTTCCCTTGAATCCTGATCATAATTCGGGGAATCCAATTGGGATGTCGGTGCTGATTAACTCGGCCCATAAGGGGCTACGCTCGACTGCGGGGGATCTGGTGAAGGAGAAGCTGGATAATTTGACGATTATCACCGGAGCGCCTGTGCAGCGTGTCCTCCTGGAGGGGACCAAAGCTGTTGGTGTGGAGTCCAATGGGAAAAAATGTAAGAGATTCTCGACCTGGCCCTGCTGTGAGCTCTCCAAATACTGACAGGCATGAACAGATCATGCCACGAAGGAAGTCATTCTAAGCGCCGGTTCATTGAATGACCCTCGTATCCTGATGCACTCGGGCATTGGCCCCGCCACTCAGCTCAAGCAGCACAATATCCCCGTTGTCCTTGACGTCCCCGCCGTCGGCCAGGGTCTCCGCGATCACTGCTTCGTTCCGATAGTCAACACACGCTCAGGAACGAGCACGGACCGAAAAGCCTTCTACGGCGACAGAGCCGCCATGGATGCCGCACTGAAGCAATGGCAAGAAGATGGCACGGGACCCTGGGCAAAATTTGCCTGCGAACTGGGCATCGGCTGGTTCAAACTATGCGAACCGCTCGTCTCCTCACCGGAATTCAAGGCCCTTCCCCCGGACGAACAGAAATATCTTCTCCAAGAGACGGTACCGCACTACGAGATTATCACACATTTCCCTGTCCACTGGTTCATTCCGGATTTCCCGTCTGAAGCACTGAACTACTCTTGTCTGCTCGTCTTCCTGTTCAATGCACAGACTCGCGGAGAAGTCACCCTGCAATCGTCTGACCCGGACGCTCCCCTCTGCTTCAATCCCAGGTTCCTGGCTCATCCGTTCGACCGCCGGCTCGCGATTGAAGCCCTGCGGGACTCGTTCCGCATCATCAAGCACGAGTCCTACACGAAGGATAACGTGGCCGAGATGGCAATGCCCAAGGGCGAGTCAGACGAGGATCTGCTCGAGTACTGGCGGCAGAACATCTCGTCAAGCTGGCACATGACAGGGACCGTGAAGATGGGTAAAAGGGGGGATGTGGATGCGGTCGTGGATCCGGACTTCAAGGTCATGGGCATTGAGAACCTGCGTGTGGCAGACATGGGTGTGGTCCCAGTCTTGGTGAATGCGCATGTCCAGGCCGCTGCGTATGTCACTGGTGCAACTTGTGCGGAGAAGTTGGTTCGTGAGTATAACCTTGCTTAGATACAAAATCTTAGAAGTAGACAGCTGGTGTCTGTTCATATCATATTATTTCAGGGATGTGTAAGGCACTATATAGAAGGGATACAGAAGATTGTGGCAAAGCATAAGGATTTCTAGGCGGCAGAAGAGACAAATAAGCATGCAATATAATAGAATGCATAGAATCTGAAGACCTGTGAAATCGACGACGAAGTTTGAACTGTCCCCCCTAGTTGAAGGAATACTGGCTACAGCCATTCGCAGATATGGGTGTGCAACCCTCTGTGGATGACACACCGCCACTTGTGTCCCCAGTGACCGGGCATGCCCAACCAAACCAGACTTGCATACGGAGTATGTTATCCCGAATCATAGAATACTGTGCTCACTGCTCCCTTCACCCGAAACGTCATCGGATGCGGAGCGAGACTAGCCTTCCGTCCATCTAAAACCCAAGACTTGACTACTGCGAGCTAAGGTAGATTATCGACTGGACTTGCTACCTTGGTCCTTGTCAGCGTGAGTGGCCGATATCTACTCATGCTGTATTACTGCATTGACAGCGTGTCTCGGATAAACTCTTACATGGTATCTTGATGATCGCCTCGAGGGGAGTAGCAGTTGAACGTGTAGCTAGACCGCAGGTCAGCCACCACTCAAAAGGTGGTGATGGGGGGAAGAGCAAAGAGGTCAAAGGGGTGAATGAGATTTGATATTCTCGTTCAAATTTGAAGTGACTACAATATGCAGTCATCAGGTCAACTTGTAAAGCATGACCCCTGATCTTTTGTTTCAGGAAAAGTCAAGGTTCGCCTGTAACTCCTGGATCGGCGCCTGCCAGAAAACCTGCCAGTTTTTAGGTTCAGTACTTTTGAATCCTGTTCTAGGCTTGATTATAATACTCCATACTTCGTTCCCAAACAGGTAGTTGTGGAGCTTTCTCCACTGGCGGGCGGAATCGGGGCGACGCCTCACTAATCCCAGTGGATTGGTTTGGGGCACCCTTTTTTTCAATTAATTATCTTCAACTCCCGTTCTCATTCTCAGTTGTTTCACCTTTGTTTTCACTGACAATCGAGGACTGGCAGGAATGGCGGAGAACGTCGAGGCATGGACCTTGTTGTCCTTGGCTCTGGCCACAATCCTTGTGCGTATCTCTGTACGATGGAAGCTTGTGGGCCCAGCCCATTTCCAGCTTGATGATTATCTTATGCCACTGGCGGGGGTGAGTTGTCTGGTTTGCCGTATGAACACCGTTGAATTGATCTTAACCAACACTGTTGTGCTCGACAGATCTTCTTCACCCTCGAAACGGTTGCGGCGTACCTTGTTGGTGCCAATTTCGAAGGCCTGACCAACAGCTACATGACGCCTGAACAGCGAGCGGCCCTTAGCCCAGATTCGAGGGAGTGGTCAAATCGTGTTGCTGGGTCCAAGATTCAGGTCATTGGATGGTCATTATACGTGGCTATTCTCTGGCTGGTCAAGTTTTCCCTGACAGTCTTCTACTCTCGGTTGACGACTGGCCTCCAACACCTCCCCACCCGAGTTCGACTCGCATACATTATCCTTGCTGTGACATATTTCGCAACCGAGCTGTCCATCCTTTTATCATGCCAGCCCTTCCATGCGTTCTGGCAGATTAATCCTGACCCCGGGAGTGAGTACCGCTGCCATCATACCCGACATGCTTGGGTATATTGACAATATCGGCATAGACCTTTGTCAGCCAACCAACTCTCGCGTGTATGTTTTCGTCGTCGTGGTCCTCGACGTCCTCACGGACATCTACCTCCTCTTGATCCCGCTTCCACTGCTTTGGCAGGTCAAGATCGGCCTGAAACGGAAGATCCCACTTATGGCCCTCTTTTCGGGCGCTGCGTTCGTCATTACAGCAGCGATTATTCGGGCTGTTATGATCACCACCGTAAGTTTCATGCAATCACGTCCTTACACGGGGGAAAACACCCATATACAGACCCATCAGCTGACTTATCTTAGTCCGGCCCCGAAGGCGCCGTAGCCGGATCTAAATGGGCTTGCCGCGAAACCTTCGTCTCAGTCGTCGTATCCAACCTGCCCATCATACAACCCCTAATCCGCAAGGGCTTCAGGAAGATCGGGCTCTCCCAACTCTTCAGCTCCTCGGGCAAGCCCTCAGGACAGTCATACCCACTCTCCAGCCGTGGTCTACAGACCTTGACAAATCGCGGTGAGCGCAGCGCTAAAAAGAGCAAGAGTGCCACAGGGCCATCGCATACGCAGGTTTCCGCATGGGGGAGTGACGAGCACATCCTCACTGGGCCTGAGCCTACCTCCAAGGATATTACGGTTGTCTCGGAGACTATCGTGCAGAGTGAGCCTTGGGTGAGGGAGGAGGGACAGGGCGTGGGCCATGCGGCAACGTCGCCAAAAGAATGGGATGGTCGGTTATCCGGTCGATAAGAGCAGCATATTTGTATTAGATATTTTTATCTATGACGAGATTCGTCAGGGTTTCATGAATAAAGGGTAATAGGGTATGCAGAGCTCTGACATTCCCAAAATGGATTTTTGTGGACATTACTGAACGGCGCCTGAGAATTTTGGCATACAGAGAGGGGTTTAATTGGTGTAAATAAGACAGCTTGGAAAGGGTCTCAATTATATTTTATTTTCTTTTCTTTTTTCCCCTTTTTTAAAACCATCAAAATGCATGGTTCACACAGTGGCTCCTACCAAAATCGGTTAACTTTCCCCTGGGCCTCTGTTCCCTTTCTATGGAACAAGGCCTAATTGTTGCTCTACTAAACTATGCTAACCACTTCAAAGATCACTGCGTGGTCCAGCTCTACAGTGAGCTGGAAAAGTATTTGAACTGAGCGGACCTTCATGGTATGCAATACTTTTTGATCATGGCGGAAAAATCCACTCAGATTAGTTTTTTCAGCTTCCTGCCTCATCAGCTACTACTTGCCATTATCCACAGACCCTGCATTACAATGTGTGCGCCCTCAGGAAGGACTGTATCCCAAATCCACCGTCAACGACCAACAGAATCCGACGGTAGTCACCCGCGGCCCCATGGCGGGCGCTCGCCATACATAGTAAGTAGTGATCCTGAACTAGCTCTAGTTGTTCAGATCGGTGCTGCTTCATGGATGTTGAAGGTGTATTTAGATCAATAGGACTACAGCCCTGTGCTAGTTTAGCCCATGCATTAGTAAGTAGATATTCACTGTAGCTTCTAGCTGTCTGTCATGAGGCCGCGTCTTAGTAATAAAGGGATGGAAGCTCTCAAGACTTCCTTGCAGGGCCTCAACTGCCAGCGCTGTAACAATCTGAGATAGTAGCGCGAGATGATGACTTTTGTATAGCACTAAACTGGCCAGGGAGGCTGAGGCGGCAGTCCTGTTGACTAGAGCCAGTCCCTCTTTGGGACCAAGAGTGATTGCACTGGCGCCAATTATCTTCAGTATTCGGTCAGTGGTGCAGACCTTGCGGCCCATCTGGACATAAACCCTGGGACTCCCCTCTATGGCGCCCACAATGTAGGTGAGTGGCATGAGATCGCCCGAAGCGGAGATGGTTCCCCGCAGAGGAATAACGGGGATCATTCCTTTGACCCGTTCAGAGGGCATCGAATGACCCTAGCCTTCTTGGGGACAGCCAATACCGCTCTCACAACCATGGGAGGTCAGAATCCCACTTTGAAGGAGCTTACAGAGGGCCTTTTGCAATGTGATGGCCTTATTGGTCTGTGAGTCGGCACTCCCTCCGAAGCCCTGTGTTAACTCCTAGATGGGAACGTCAAAGAATGTCCAGGCCGTAGCTCACCATAGATGGGCTCTCCACTGGCTAGGCATTTCTACAACACCTGCACACTCTCATCAATGCTGTCGAGTGTAGCCTTGTCCTTGGTGAGATGTGGATAACATCCAAACCTGGGAGACAATGTTAGTAACCCTAATCAGAAATTACGGTTGCGCCCTCCCCTTGTCAACTCTACTTTAGTCCCTTTCCTCCTGCCAGCTGCAAAGAGTTAAAAAATTAATTTTATCTCCCTGCTTTTACATCCAGTGAATTTATTCAAACCTTATACTAACTTCTAAAGATGATTATCTCTTAAGGTAAAATCACGCACAAAGGCTATTTAACCTAGAAGCTATGAATTAGTAACTGGTATTAAAGATATTATCTCTAGTAGCCATCTCCTACTTCCACTCTTACTGGGAAGCAATACTAATTGACGTGGTATACCAGTCTACCACCAGAATAGGTCATTAGAGGGAGTAGGAATGGATGGATAAATAATGAATTAGAGGAGATCTAGCTGGAAGAGGTATTTTATAAACATATAAAGCCGCATACAGTTAGCACCTACTGACTGGTTATCTTAAATGATCATAGCAGTCATGGAACTGCAGCTCTTAACCATTTCTGCACTGAGAACCATATTATACCTCTTTATCTTTCTCCTCATTCATCACACCATCTCCAGTTAACGTTGCATGCTTTCAGTCCCTGAAGCAGATATATAGTCAGCACATTTAAGCCTATATACAGCTGAGAATTAATCACATTAATAAGGTTGACTTCCTATATGCCAGTGAATATATACACCCACAAGTATTCTCAGCATTAAATATGCAGAGCAGATTTCCTGCTGCGGGCCTAGTACTATATAGGCCTCAGCATGTACTTAACGATCTTTATTTTGACCTACAGATACCCACTTCACCAGGCAGCTCACATAGTAAGGAGTCTTTTAGCTAGACTATAGAGACTACTAAGACTACCAAATAGCTTGGATCATGCACTTTTGCATCTTAGATTCAGAGTATTATGCTAACCCTAAAATAACAACATACTGTGCAGGCTCGAAAGAACAAGTACCTGCAGTCAAGCCACAGGAAATGGCAACTCAGTCCTACAATAACATCTGGATATCCCATCCTAAGTCCTGGTTCAGCTGTCCCGATCCAACCACAAACCCTCAAATCACAATGTTATGCCAAATCAGCGGACAATGAGTCTCATCGCCCTTCCTAAAAGCTCTGCCAAAGATAACACTACTGTAAAACTCAGCAATCAACAGTATGCACAGGGTAAATGCTTGGTTCAGCGCTCAGTCGCAGATGACCATGCCAGGTGCCACCATGGTTGAACGCGCAGCAGCCTATAGTAGTGCCACTATTATGCAGGGTAGTAGCACACTTCTCCACAGCCGAGAGGATTGTCTTCTTTATCGCCGTAGTATCGCATTTGATACCTGTGGTTGTCGCCTTATAGGCATAGCCATAGTATAAGTCCCCGCTTATGTCTGTACCATAAGTCAAGGTACAACTGTTCGCATCTGACTTGGACTTGATAATCCCAGCCAGAAACTCATAAATTTCAATCCCCGCCTTCACTGTGGCAATAATCTTTGTGCCTGCTTTGACTGTGGTCTTGATTTTCGTGATAGTGATACCAGTGCGTTTCTCGAGGTCGATGTCGAGCGTGCCATTGGCAAATTTCCAAGCATAGTCCGCATTGATAACACCCAGGGTAACTGTCATGTTGGACGCTCCATTATCCCATTCCGTGAAGATTGGGGTGGTAGTCACATATGTTGTTTCATTGTCTCCAGCAAGACATGGATCAACAAACATGCATGCGAGAACGCCACACACGATCTTGCTGAGCTTGACCATTGTCCCTCCGTATATCTGTCGTAGATTGCGAAAAGGTCGAGAATTAAAATACAAGACAGCTGGATAAGATCCATGCGGATTGCGTCGTTTGGGATAGCTGAAAGGCCTTGGTGCTTATTGACTTGGTCCGAACTTAGGTACTGCACTAGACAAATGAGATTCGTGTCAGTCGTTGATGAGTCTGAGTCACGCAACGAAGGGTAGTATTTACCAACGGATGGAGACAGAATCTGTGTAGTCAACAAAGAGACTCAAGAGTGTGGGAAATGTGAAGCGCTCTTGGGATGATGGTTCTAGGATTCTTTGGTAGGAGGGAGTGGCGCCTTTTTATATTCGATGTCCAGTCAACTGGCCCAGGTCTCGGTTATTTAGGCTTGTGGGACTCCACAGTGCTGTTGGATGAAGGGAACACCTACCTACCGGTCATAGAGTTCTCCGTATGAGTAGAGTGCTCTGATTCCTTGACAAATACTCTGTAACTATTATCTCATGTCTGACTGGTCTTGGACCGAAGAGGCAAAGCACAGACCAGATTCACATATGATCTCCGTCAATACAGAGACTGTCGATGGTAAAATGCAGCTAACTAGGAATAATTGTCTGTCGGATAATCCTCGGATTCTCCTGTTAATGGGACGCCTGGAGTGGCCCATACATCCCCACTGGCTGTACAGAAGTTGGGTTTCGCCGGAGTTGTTGAGGCAATTCCAAGCTAGAGCCCCCTATCTAACGTCTTAGCTCCATCTGAAAATCAGCGATCCGAATCGGACGTGCCATAGCCTAACCAGGGGTCCACATCGCCCTAGGAGGCCGAGGAACAGGTTAAATTGTACGGTCTACGGAGTATATGTGACTGGATTATCACTAGACCCTCAGAACAAAATGTGCTACCCAACGAGTGCTGGACAGTGATGTTCACCATGCTGCAATGCCCACAACCTGAGGGGTTCATGATTAATGCCGCATGAGGCCTACTACTTTGTCTGGATATTGTATTTTCCTGGGTGGAGACAAGCCTCGCAAGCATTTTAAACATTGCTGGTAAGTCTTCCTCCTTTGGGAACGCACCCAAGTGTATTGAGACTGGGTTAATTCTTTAATAACAGACAGCGCTCCAGTACCATTTGTATATAGCATTGTATCTTTATCGAGTGAGGGAACCTCTGAGCAGTCCAAGACTTCAAGATGAGCTTGTCTAGACTATAATACATAGCAAGGTGACGTGGCTTTTGGTAGCGTGACGCGCGGCCTTTTAAGGCTAAAAGGAGCCAGCAGCCTCCAGGTCGGCTATCATACTTTCTAGACAAGCTCTTTAATCCGGTGCAAAAGTGCTTATCCTACGCTAATATAAGCTTAGTTAGGGTTCTTTTCCTGCCATAAAGAGTTAAGTGTATTAATGTGGCCAACCTGAGCTGAAGTTTTCCAGACTTCATTCAGTGGTGCGTTGGTGTTATGGGCGCATGGGAGCAGAGGCAGAGTGTAACAGGCCATTTTCCAGCATGCAGGTCTGATAATACCTAGCTAATCTGGTCAGGTTGCATATCCAGACAGCTGAGATGCACAGCCATGTGATTAACTTGATGGTGTTCATGGCAGCGCGGTACAGCATGCATGCAGTTTACATTATGGCTATGACAGCTGCTTGTTCACTCTATGTGGCCTGTCAGGACTCAGGCGCTAAATCTGAGGGTTCTCTAGGTGACTTTCCTCCAAGCTCTCGCACCAACCTGGAGCCAGACACTCTGTGCCGCTTTCGGGAGATTCCTCGCCCCGGCCGAACTGGACGAGCTGACCGAGGTCTTGCACAACGCAAGCCTGAGTCTTTGGGCCGCTCAGACCTGGTTAGATCTTGCCACACACTGTGAGAGAGGGTGGATTTCAATCATCTATGAGGCGCTGTGAGAACAGAAATTAGTGAGCACAATTGTGGATGTGTTTCAGGGGTGATTTACTGCTGTCCATGGTTCTTAAAGTTTTTGAAATAGGACCCTTATTGGCATACATATACAGTTTTATAAAGGTACCTCTTTCAGTAAGTTAACACTTAGTAATTGATTATGATCATTTACCATAATGTAGATCTAGCTAAAGCATGTAACGTGATCCTAAGTTAATCTGATAGTATACATGTGCAGTGCTTCATCCTTACATAATTAGACATAGTCTCTATGCATCATTTCATCACCCACCTGCTTAGTACTTGAACAGTATGAACAGAATTTCTAAATCCAGTTAAATGTCTTAATATGGTGATGCTATGGCTAAATAACCAGCATATAAATCTAGAAATCAAATATTGATGTAGCTGGCACATGGGCCCTCTCTGGACATGGCTTTGAACACCTCCAGATTCTATAGAAATGCCTCTCATGCATTCTACTTGCTTGTATGTATGTAGCAGAATGTTTTTTCCAGATCCATTATAATTACCTGGATTTTTCACAGAGCTTGTCTCTGGTTCTTGAGGCTTCAGGCTAACATTTCTTAGGAACATTCGAAGTTACACCATAAAAGCAAATGAACAGAAGCTTCCTTGATAAGCACATCTCCCTGAACTGTTTCTTGCTAGCAATCCCCACCGAATCTGATATCTTATTTTGCGGCAGCCCTGCATCTTATGTAATGGATAGAAGCTGCAGGATTAGACATCTCAATATCTTGTAGCGTTTTTGGTAAAGGAGACAAAAGTACCAGTTGTGTTGGGAGTTGGATACAGCACTATCTACAGATCACTTTTGAGGTATCTATGTGTATCTTCTACCTTGCTCTATTACTCGCCTATGAGAAACTGGAGCCTTTTCCAATTGAAAGAAAATGTACATTCTTTTCATGATAATGTCCCATGATAGCCTTAACATTTGTCCACTTACCGCCGCAAGAGACCAAAATATTAGACCTTCAAACAGTATTCTCATCACCGCGTCTAGATCAGTTCCCACAGGATCATGGTAGCCCAGAGGTATACTATTTGCTATAAGAAGAACTAATCACAAGCAAAGTCACTGCTTATTCACAGACTTGCGGATCTAATAGCTGAGTTAAATAATAAAAACTAACTGGCCAAACTTCTGTTTGAAGCTCTTGCGACAATGATGAGGAGGAACTGATCCTTTGGCACCTTTTGGAGCGTTAGGTATTTGTTGGCTCTCTTAGACTTAGTAACCTTGGACTACCACTTCCATATGTTGCCTGTTAAAGACATTGGCACAGTCAGCTCTCTGTTAACATAGATTGTCAATGATTCAGCCTTCACCCTTAGGTTAGTTGACTTAAAGGTACCAGTGATGAAGATGCTTTGTGCCTCAGACTCCAGACTTTGAGCATCAAGCATAGTTGTGGATCTGAACTCTGAGGACAGTGATTATGTCTGAGGGAAGCGCCAGAGTCTCTGGTAGAATGACGCGCCCTTTTCTAGCTTGCTTAAAGGCATAGGAGTAGTAGAGGAGGTCATTGTCGCTGTAGGCTTTGCTGAGGAATGTTCAACTGATGGGCATCTCCTTATTGGCCATGTTTCCCATGGGTACAGTGTTGGACAGGAGTCCCAAATGCTTGAGTGCCCGGCCACTGTTTGCATATTTAACACCATCTTGCAAGACATGCAGCATTGATTTCTAAAGCTCCTCGGAATCGGCGCGGGCAACGTCTCCATTGGTCGGGAAGACAACCAGATTAAAGCTATTTGAGTCCATCCAGTCCTCCAAGTCACGTTTCCACATTTCCCGAGGGCCTTGATAGCGTCCCTACACCCTAGCAAGTCATAGATGGTGCCATGACGCTGTCGGACAGCTTCGATCATATCCATGTAGCGGACGTGATTTTCGACCTCGGTGTGCATGGTTGGATCGTCCATGGGAGCGATATGGGGGTGGATCATGTCAGCGTCAGCGACTGTGAGATTCGGGTAAGATGTGTCGCCGTTGGGCGGAGGAAATCGTCCCATCCAGTAGTGGTCATCTGGCATCGTTCGATGCTCATCCATTGAGTGGGCATTCAGGGAATGTCGGTGCTCTGGCCAGGGTATAACCTCTTGTTGTAGTTATTAACCAAGGGGAAGTCAGTCTCGACTACTGTTGCACCCAGAGACTCTAAGGTAGTCTGGGCCTTTAGCCACAGGTCGTGAACAGAGCTAGTAAAAGCATTGAGGGCGTTGACAGCAGTGGGAAACTGCTTTCTGATGTAACGCATTGGAATGGTAATTTGCTTTCCTTTGAGTGAGTGCGGGTCCTCCAGGCTTTGGCAATCCACAGGCCAGACCTGCGAAGAGAGTGGGATGGGGCAGACACTCTGGCCTCTCCAGAAATCTCCAATAGGGTTAGGATTGTCTGTCATGATGACATTCAAGATATCCAAGAGCTCTTTCACGGTTTGTGCATGGGGGACAATGACATCACATGTAAGATAGAGCGGCCATTGCCCCTGGAACGGGATTACTCCTCTTGAGGGTGAGTATCTGACAAGCGCGTTATTGGAGGCTGGTGACCGACCAGAAGACACGGTCTCCCCGGCAAACCCGAAGGCTGTGAAGCTCGCCGTTGTCGGCGTCCCAGCACTATTGGAAGACCTGGATGCATATGCCGTAGTGGAATATTTGGGATTGTAGGGGCTCTTGGACCTGCCGTAGAGACCCCGCTGACCACCGCCGCCAGCCATGGCAGGCATATTTGTCTTGCCGAGAACGATAGCGCCTGCCTTGCGGAGGGATGACACTATTGTTGCATCACAAGAGAAATTCAGATCAGCGAAGGGAGGCGACCCGGCCGCGACGGTCAAGCCCTCGACTTTGAAGTTGTCTTCACCTGTGAATGGGATCCCTTCCAGAGGCTAGGGCTTGTGACCTGAGGCGCGATAGTTGTCGGACGCCTGTGCCTCCTCGAAGATTTTGGGGTTCGGCACCGGGATCTGGTTGAGGGATGGGCCGTTACAGTCGTATTTTGCGATCCTTTGGAGGTATATGGTGACGAGTTGGACACTGGTGATGACACTTGCGTCCAGGACTCGCTTTAGATCGCGGATACTCGCATTGACCAGGTTGAGTGTCTCGGAAGCCACTACCTGGTCAGATCGTCTGAGGACTGCAATGGCACTCTTCTGGAGAATAATTAGAGGAGTAAGGATGGTGCGCGATGACTAGGATGGTCCTGTGGCACGAAGCTGGGTAACTGTTTGATCCTGCAAGACAAGCGCAGCTTCATACCAAAGCATTGCTTATTAATACTGGGGAGATTCATTCCGCGAGTGTCTATGTCTGCTGTCCACAAGGATCTGAATCATTAGATAGAGCCTCTGTCCTTTGAATCTTGGCGTTCAGAAATAGAAGCTTGTGCTGACGTGCTCAGAAATGATAGACTTTGGCAGTAGGGATAATTAAGCTGAGGATGTAGAAGGTTGTGCCGGCAGAAGGCTGTGTCTGGCTATGCCGGACCGGGGTCTCAGATTAAGCATACATTATCAAGTGCCCTGCTTGAAAAGCTTCACCACCAGTACCGTTGCATGTTAGGGTTCCATCAAGGCTAGGGCCCACTCAATAAGGCTCCACCTCAGCCCCTCAGCCACCCTGAATCCAATGCCAAGTCGCGTTGATAGTACACAGAAGGTCGTGGCGATGTACAAGAAACTCATGGCATGCCTAATACCAAGAACAATAGGATCACTCCCAAGTATATCAAACTAACAGGCCAAAGCCAGTGGACAGGTGAGGTTATATCTCAACTGGTCCCTGGATAGGAGAACCCCATTCGCACACTACGCATACCCATTGTCCAACGAGGATCAGCTACAACAAAACTCAAGGTACACTGTTCCAGTTGTATGTGGCCAGCCCGCTAAGCATCCTTCAAAATCCTTTGGTAGCATAGTCTCGAGCATAACCTCTCATGTGAGTATAAATCAAGTATCATGAAACAGATGGGCTGTGAGATTCAGGGGAGGAGAGCCCCCACACTGGTCAGTAATACTCTTGAGGCAGGCCTTAACTGCACCCTGCGATTGGTCCCTTGTAATCAATATTTTGACAGTCTTGTCCAAATGCCGAAACACCGTAGCTGGCCAAACCTAATTTAGAGGATTGCTTCCAGGTATAGTCATTTCTCTTCAAACCTGAGAGACCAATCTCCTATACTAGTTAGTCAGTTTCATATTCGCGGAGCCTTTTTTCATCTATATCATACAGATGTAACTGCAATTGCCGCTTAGTAGAGAATCTGAAACATAAAGTAATAACTACTCAAGAACCATGGCAAGTGTACCCCGGATAACATGGCAAGGTCTCATCCAGAGTTATTATGATGCATTCATGGTTGTATTCTCGTGTTTTCTGTATAAATACCAGTCCTTTCCTACTTGAGTTCACTACTTGCTCTCAGTCTCATTTCCTTCCAACAATAACCACGCTCTTCGCTTCTCTTTTCTCCCAATATTTCTGCCTCATTCATCATGTTGCGCCCCCTTGCATTCCTAGCATTGAGTGCTGTTGCTCAAGCACACACAGTTGCTTGGGTCAAAGGCATGTACTGCCTGGGAGGTCCTGACCCTTCCACAGACAATGCGAATACTAACACAGCCGTGGGTCCCCTGTACAATCTTACCCATGAAGAATGGTGGTTCCAACATGATCGCGGATGTGACGCAGCACCTCCAGCAGATGGCGACATCCTGGAACTCCCAGCTGGCGGAAAGTTCACAGTGGAACTTGCACATAACCGCGCGCAGACTACGCTTTCATACAATGGAAAGTATACCTCTGAATGGCCGGATGGGAAAGAGCACCCTGAAGACTGGGCTGGTCCTGGAAGCCCGCCTGACTGCATTCAGGACGATGGAGCAATGCATACCAACAACCAATCCATGGCCGCTGGCACTGCGTTTGCCATCAGCTATCATTCTGACCTGGCTGCGGTAACGATGGAGAACTTGGCTGTGTTTACAGTTTTGGAGCAGTAGGTTCTTTTCCGAAGCTTTTTGCAGTATAGCTGCTTGGGTTCCTAATATCCGTGTAAAGCACCCCGTGGAAGCGGGTCGCTACCTATGAAGTGCCCAAGGATCTTCCTGCTTGTCCTCCTGGTGGATGCACCTGTGCTTGGCTCTGGGTAAGTGTATGAATATTGAGCCGGGTTTTACTTAACTGACATCAGATAGGTCCCGAACGGTTGTGGACAGCCCAACATGTAAGTGTCCATAATCTCGTTCCAGTCCGTTAACTAACAAGAGAACCAGGTATATGGCTGGTTCTAAATGCAATGTGACTGGGTCTACCTCTTCTAAAAAGGTCGCCACCGCTCAAGTCGCTGCTTATTGTGCGGATGATACCAGCAAGTGCGTTAAGGGTGCTAAGCAAATGATTGCCTTCAACCGTGAGTCAGTCATTCTCCTGGATGGTATGCCCAGAAGTAACCTGAAATCATAGAGCAAACTGGGAATAATGTTCGAGTCCCCGATGGCAAGACACCGATGTATAACGCGGCGTGGGGTTGGGAAAATGGTATGTCTTCATCTACTACAACCTTACAATGAGAACTAATTTGCTAATAATAAATCGCTCACCAAAGGTGCACAAAATGATATTTTTGCTTAAACAAGGCCTGCGTTCGAACAAGCTGCTATTGATTGAGCAGATGGAATGTAGATTCAAAAGGATATGCCAGTGTATTCCCTTGGGCTAGCTTCTGCGAGGCTCAGGGTGTGCTCAATTCTACTCAGTAAGCGAAAGGCAGCGACGGCTGAGGATTAAAACAGAAGGGGAAATATGTACTGTATGAATGTGCGACCCATGTGATGAGTGCCACTGCTTTTCTTTACGGGTGCCCGGGCTTGTGTTGGGCTTTTGTATAGAGTGAGAGTTAGAAACCAATTTCGATCCATCTTGTATAAGATAATTTTCAGATTGTCCTTCAAATCGAAGTATGTCCCTGTAATTGCCAAGCCGGCACGTCAGGAGAGCTCGTTGAACTAGGGCGGTCCGTCCCTGTGGACTTTGGACACAGAGTCATGTGGGGCCATCTGTCTTCATCAGCCTCTTGCTTATTGATTCAAGGCCAAACCTGCGAATGGTTGACAGATCAGCAACCAGATCGGTTAAAAACCAAGTGACGCAAGCCCGATGACAGTAGGGCACGGATGAAGGCCCACAGTTCCAAGGCACAGGCTTAGAGACTATGGATAAAGAGTCATTATTGCCAAAGGGACGGAAACCGAGGTCCAATGACAAAGGGCAGAATATGTTAGCCAGTTGCCTATGGTCCCGGTGGGCCTACGATCCACGGATCATGAGCTGGCTGTGTTGGGAATTGGATACAGTAATATCCACAGACTACTTTAAGGAATCTATGTGTGTCTTCGATCTTGCTCCATTGCTCGCCTACAAGAAACTCAATGAGCTTGGTCGGAACTGGTCCACCGATTCCTCTAGGATCATTGGTGATATGAAGACGAAATCATTGCGTTATATCATTAACTACAGAGCATAATGATTTTTCAATATACATGGTAAGCTACATTGTAATAGAAGGAACGCTGGGATATATCTGCAATAAAAGGTTAATTAAAGTGATCCAATAGAACTCCCCGAAATCACTATAGAATATAGGCTGGGATTTGCCTCTTACCAGGATATATATCTTGTCTCTAGCAGAGGCTTAGCTTCATATATGAATAGTTCCATGCAAGAAGCTGTCTTACATTCATGCATGCCACGTTGCACCATCTTCATCTCACCACCATCTAATCTATAGTGGAGCACAGGAATGAGTGCTGCTACAACAAGAAGTTAAAGCTGCATAACAACACAAGAAAATACAGCCATCATACTGTATACTCACCGCTGTTTTCAGGATAATTCCCCCTAACCTAGCTGTTTGACTGTGTCTCAAGATATCTGCAGTTCACCATTATTGGGGAGAAATTTTGCTCACTATAACCACCTTTTGCCTCACACTCATGCAGATATCATAATCCTCTTTTAACTACTATCATGACCCCTTTCACACCTCCCATTGCGGTTTTTAGGACCATGGGTAACCAAAGCAGTGCCGCAGCTCGACTGCTTCAAAACTGTTATCGCACATATTTTCAGGATATTTCCTCATCTCCCTGATCCTGAGGGCTATCTGACCTTTATGGTCCCCAGATGGGGTGGTAGTGAGGACATCCCCGTCATCAGCATGACTGATGACTAGGGACAGTATGCAGGGCATATTCCTTAACCTAATGTAATGGAACGGCTATGTTATTAATGACTGCAGTGATATTCATAGCTCCACCGATCTTACGTCTAATTTTAAGGAAGTGACTGGATGGAAATCCTGCGTTCAGCTACTACCATCCTGGGAAGTATTGACACCCACAGAATTCCTGAGTTAGAGGACGTAGAGATGATGTTTAGTTTCCCTCGGGACAGCCTTATTGTGAACCTTTTATATGAGAGGGATTGCCGTCAAAATTGTATGAAATTCACTAATCAAAGGAAAACTTGGTAAATGCTGGTGATGCAGTCATTGCTCTCCTTAAGGTCACCTGCCTTCCACTGGTGATTGCCAAGGCGGCAGTATATATTAATGGAAAAAATAAGATTTCCTGAATATACTGAACTTTTGCAGAAGCAGGAGCTGGATGTAATTGACGTGATTGAGTTGCTGAGTGAAGACTTTCGGGATACAGTGGTATGGAGGTATCCAGAATCCTGTCGCAATAACCTGGTGGATTTCGTTCTAATAGATCGAGTCACTGAATTAAATAGCAACTGACTACGGCCGCTTCCCCTTCTAGCTGCGTAAGGTCTACCCCAAGCTGGGTTCATTGTTCAAGATCATGGTCCGGTCATCAGCAGGGGCTGGAGAAAGTCTGGCCCCAGGAGAACCCCGGGGCAGTGCAGACTGGACAAGTACAGTTCGTCAAGCATAGCCTCTTTGATAGAAACTCCACTGAGAGCGCCAATATTTACTTTTTGCGAGATTTCATGTAAGGCTGCTCTTTCCCTGCACAATGGCTGCTAACTTTCCCTGCACAATGGCTGCTAACTTTCCATACTACTTTCATCAGTCATGACTGGTAAGATGACTATTGTGTGCGCATCCCGTCCGCCATAGATCCTAGCTCATTTCAATTAGAAGAAAAAGCACATTCTTTTTATGACAATATCCCATGGTAGCCTTAACATTTGTCCACTTGCCGCCTCAAGAGACCAGAATATTAAACCTTAAAACACATTATTCTGATCACTGAATCTTAATCACTCCCTGCAGGATCATAGTAGCCCAGAGGCATACTATTCCCAACCCCTAAATAAGCAAAGTCGCTGGTTATTCACAGACCTGCTGCCAAATGAGCCAACTGATGAATGTCTCCGCCATCTGGCTCAATACTTTCACATTTTGATAGTTTGGATGCTAAATAAAACCAGGTAACAGCATTCCCCACAGTAGTAAATTTGTCAGGGAAGTTATCGCGTGAGTGCGAAGTGATCTGCTGGGAGATCTTAGGGTCATTAAGCTGATGAAAGAGATGTGAGATAGAGTTGCAGTCATCTTTGTCAACCAGCCATGTGTTAGGGTTGATCTCTAAGAATGAATAGAAACTTGCATCCTTAACTGTGATCAAAGGCTTCTGTTTCTGAGTGGTGCTCAGGAGCAACTCAGGAATTCCCTCAGGGATGGATAGTTGTATGATGACTTTAGCATTTGAAAGAAGTACATTCCACAATTGATCAGGGCCACCAATTTCTATGACACAGATCAGGTGAGAAATGTCGTGCATCTTGGTGTTGATGTGCCACATGACTTCTTGGTAGAGAAGCAAGCTCTCACGGCTTTTAGGAGGGCCATGACGGCATATAAGTAACTTTGGAATGGAGGCTGTTGGGCTTGCCTCCATCCATTGGCGGCAAAATATTTGATATGCTTGCAGAATAGTCATAGTCTCATCATTGGGTCTGAATTGTGCAAGATGTAGAATGTATTGCTCTAATGGTTAAATAACAACATTAGCTGAGCATTGACATATTGCAACAGGGAATGGGGAACCTATTACCCTCTGGATATTGTATGATTGGCGCGTTGAGTGTTCTGCACAGGGAGTTGAATTGTCGACCATAGAAGGTGATGTCTGTCTGATTCATATGCTTGTTCAAGCCGTCAATTCTACTGATTATCAGCTTGTGCATTTTAGATACTATAGGAGGGCGCCTCACTGGTCAACACAAACTGGAATAAATCCAATGTGCTTTCTGGGTAATATGTGCGGTGCCAATGGGTTTGGTACTGGAGAAACCACTAGATCCACATGTTCTAACCTCGTCTGAATGAAGTCCCAGGCCCTAGCCGACGGACTATTAGGATCCTCAACGATGCTATTCTGAAGCATTAAACGGTTTTCGTATAGAACTGGTCGCTGGGGGTCCTGTTGCTTAGACAAAAGCGCCAGGGTGAGTAGAGGTGCACTATCAATGACCACCACATCTACACCTCCCTTTGACCTGGGCAGAAGGGGCCCATTGTGGCGCAGCCAATATCGTCTGCCATTCTCATATACCCACTCTAAAATCTCCAACTCGTCATCAACTGAAAGATACTTGAGGGAGTCATTCAACCCCTCCAGGATGTCCCTCATCTTTTGAATAATATTGAGTACCCCTGGACGTGGCTTCGCAACATACCTGTTAGGTAGGCAATCTGTCAATAAGCTTCTTGCTCAACAACACTACTTGAGATCGAAGCCCAGACTTTGGAAGAAAAAAAAAAGAAAGTTGTACTCACCACCTGAAATCAACCCCCATACAATGAGCAAACCTCACCAAGGCATGCCTCGTATGTACATCGGGTTTGCCCTGACAAGTCAGGCTGAAGAATGCAACTTTGACTTGCCTTTCTCTGAGGTCTCCGGCATATTGCTGAGCAATAGCCCATGACCTAGGTTTGACAGTCTGTTCGTAGTCTTGCTTATCTGCAAGACATGCCATGAAATGACTATCAACCTCCACAAGACTGTCATGACTGATCTGGGGGTGAGTCACATGTCCAATCCCAAAAGATCTAGAAGCCGTTAGCAACAGATCATCTGGTCCTCCAACTCAACTAGATACCGTATGCATTTTCGCGCCATGGAATCCGCCTGCTCATCTAGTGCTTTTCTTTCCCAGCCCCAGAAGGTGGCCAGCTCACCCCGGTCATTCGCATTCCTCGCGCGAGCTTCATGTCTCAGCACTAACGGCACAATATCAAGCCTGAACCAGAGCTGAGAGCAAAGACCCGGGCATTTCAGGACAAGGGACTCTGGCAAGCCAGCACCGATGAACTTCTCCATATACTTGGCGCTGTAGTTCTGGAGCTGCGAGATGATCTCATGGCTGATCTCAGCCGGATCTCGAGAAGCACGCTCTTCCCATTCATGAATGACACAGTCCAGCAAGTATGTCGAATTGCGAATCACGATCGCAATTCGAGTTTTAGAGCCTTCTTCGATAAGTTCCGAAAATCCTGCCCAGATAGTCTTGGTACATCTGTTAGAGTCGCATTGAACCAGATTAAAGCAGAAGAATGACATGAAGGCATAGATTGAGGCAGTCTCGTCTACTTACATTTGGAGTTTGCCCCGACCAGGAAATTTCCGCAGGTAAGGGGCGGACAGGAATGTTCTGGTTCTTTGGCGTCCTGAGATCGACCATTGTTACTCCCTTATCACCCTTGTCAATGAAAGAATTTGGCTTTATCCCAGAGAGAGTATATCAGAATCTCCCTAGATATGAATCTCTCCTTTTAAATGCCGATACAACTCATACAAATTTGACCTTAAAATCCCCACTGTAAGTTGTGAGTTTTTGTGACTACATGCTGTAATCAGAACTTCTAGATCTTATGACATTGCACACCAGTGACTCATTGGTAGAAGCCGTCTAGAGTTATAATCATCCCACCAGTCAATAATACTTTCTGGTTAGGTTGCCACCAAATCATGCCATTTCATGCCAATTCAGGCGAATTGGATCATTTAGAATCACTACTTGGTCATAGGACTACCTTTGCGTCTAAACCATACAATTAAACCAAATACCAATTTTTACATTCAATGAATGGAATATGTATGGTATGATTACACAGAGTGTGCTCCGTCTACTACTTGAAATTCGTGATCATTTATTAAATAGATGAAGCTCGAATGAAACAACAATAACACTGATGTCATAACAAGAGGGAAAAGGGGGCGGAACACATTCAGATAGTTCAATGCCTTATAAACCGAATGGATAGGTCTCGGCTTCGTTCAAGGGAGTCGAAGGTTGAACAGCCTCCAGAGCCTTGACTGCCTCTGTAGTTTCAAACCAAACATATTTATCAAATTGATTCTCCAAGGCGGTTCGAGAATAATGGGACTCTCTTTCTGTATCGGGGCGGTAAATGACTCCAATAAATCTCATCAGTCGCTGTCTCTCCGTAGAGAGGACTGATCGCAGGAGGGGAGAAGCCACTTCTGGTCTCAGGTCCAGGACAAAGCGGGAAATACCCGTACAGTGTGCCAAATACTCCCAGCTGTCTCTTCGAGAGGGATTCACCTTCATGATTCTCATGTTGGCATCCCATTCATCTGCCGCGGCCACTGTACCGGTATGTGTGTCACATCCGACGATAGCCACATTTTCTCGACCGAAATCTTCGCGCACGAGCTGTCCGACATTAACCTGACTTCTGGGACCCATATGTGTGTACCTGGCGTCTCCGCAGTGCGAATTGTGAGCCCAAACAATCGCCTTGGTCCCAGGCGGTTTGTCGCGGAGGACTCGCTTCAAGGTACTGACCATATGCGTATCTCTCAAGGACCATGACTTTGATGAACTGAACAGCATGACTTTATAATACTGTTCCGCATCCCGGATCAGGTAGGCATTTTGCTCGCTGCTTCGAAACTCCTCACCGTCGGCAAAGTGCTGGATGTATTGCACTCGATGCGCAAGTAGATCTTGTAGCATCTTCGTGACTCTCTTCTCGCAATTCGTCCCACCCCGCAGGAAAGACATCCCGTACATTGATGGCTCTTCCACCCATGGTTGCAGGCAACCGTAGCGTCTACGGGCTTCCTTTGCTTGTTGCGGATCGACATGGTCAAGGTAGTCGATCACAGCACAGATAGAGGTCTCCATACTGTACAGGTCAAGACCATAAAAACCCGCACGTTTCTCAAAAGGAAGTGAGGAATTGTAGTCGCGCATCCAATGCGCTAAGTCTTGGAATTCTCGATTCCTCCACATCCAAGTCGGGAAGCGTCGAAATGCATTCGGTTGAGGACGGGACTCTAACGTGCCCATCTTGGTAGCCAGGGTTGGCCGCTGACGGACGTAACGGTCGATGACTTCAGCGTCAGGCCAGTCAGCTTCAAGAGCAATGACTGAAAACCCATGCTCCCTGACAAGGCGTTTTGTGATCTCTGCCCTGGCACTGTAGAACTCCGAGGTGCCATGGCTACCATCGCCCAGTAGTACAACCTTGTACTCAGCCAAGTCATCGAAATGATGGGCAAATGTCGGATTGCTGATGGGAGGAAGGGGTTTTGCTGCGTTAGTGATAGCAGCAATTGGGTCAGAGGCCATTTGAGAGATAGATAACTTCTCACGTTGGTGCACAGGATTCCAGCAAGAAATGAAGCTTCTTGGTGCGACGAAGTTTCGAAACATTGAGGTTGTTATAAGGTGGTGCCATACTTTTTCATACAGTGTTGTTAGAGTATCAGAAGTAAATATCCAACAGATGACGTCTTCCATAATATGCCACATTTTTGTTCGCCAGAATATATTCAATCCAGACTGGTCTTTGTTCTCAAAGTCAGCCCACACAAGTACAGAATCTTCTGATTGGCAGCCTATCAGTATAAGTTTTTTTTTTCTTGATGTTTTTAATTTTACCCTTACAATACTAGGCCAAAGTTTGAGAAAGTGGGTTACTGTGTGTATCTCTGATAATCACCTAGGATCTCTGCCATAGTGTCCAGGCAGTCTCCAAAGAGTTTCCAAACTCAATTATATTGGTGACGCAGGAGTCGCCCATGTCACTCTCATGAAAACCTATGGGCCTTTGGAGTCGTTATAGCCACTGTTCCAACCACTTCAGGCGCCCTTTGGGTAGATCCCAGCAACATTGGCCATCCAACGGGCATCTTAGCGTGGGTGGTCCACACGCAGGATCCAGTCCAGTTAGTGCCCTTTGGGACCGTTGGGCTCCTGGCGTCAGCTTGGACGAAGTCTGCTTCGAGACGACCGAAGCGAGCCTTATACAGGTTGATAGATCCCAATCCCTCGCAAGACGGAATGCTTGGTGTTCCAAATCTTCATTTCACAATTCGTAAAGTTCTAAACAACTAGGGTGCATTCTCTAATCGCTTCCGTTATAGCCGAGGTTATTATCGGCGTTATCTGCTGTGACATCCTCGCAGAGAAAGGTCTCGCCTGCAGGCCGTCTCACTTAATAAATGGCATTGGGAACACTCCCTCCGGCAGAATCGTATCAAATGACCAGGGCCAGTCATCCAGTAGTTCTGGCGGCAGCTGAAACTGAGTCATGGGGTCCTCAAATCCGCTTAGGGGTGCGTGTATGGATGCGATGCTGTCTTCTTGATCCTCTGATGAGGCCAGACGGCTTTGCATATGGTCGGGGTTAGGAAACGACGACCTCCGTTGTGGACCAGAGGATATGATGGAGGATGCTTGAATGCGCATGTACTCGTCAATGCGACCTACCTGCGCTTTGAGTCGTTCGCTAGCACCAGTGGAACGCCGAAAACCTGACTCCAAACGATGCAAAAGCTGGGCCATTTCCAATCTATCCGACAGTGAGTCTCGCCGTATCGATATGCCTGTGGGGAATTGCAGAGCATGACCTACAGGAGTGTGCGGACTCGCCGATAAGATTTCTCAGAGAGACTTCCTTCCATAACCGACCCAAGGATATAGCCAATCCCGCCCAGATGATGCAGCTTCGAGAATCAGTCAGCGCATCGTCCGTTAAGGGGGCGGAAGAGAAAGCTGGGTAAGAGGGAAAATAGCATACCAAGGGAGAACTGATAGCTTTCAAATATTCGACTGGTACTTTGGAGAAGACGCTTAGGACTTGCCCTGCTACGTCGCATTTTCCATCCACCCCTCGGTCTTCGCTTGAGAACAGAACCATTCGTAGAAGCTGGAGAGTTGCTTGAATGTTAGCTGACTGGAAGCCCACGATATCATGCGCCGGATGGCCGGTGACAGGTGGGGTTTCTCGAAACTGCGCAGGCAGCGCAGAGTACATGGAAAGGACGTGGTCCATGACCGAGGATGCCGTCATTTGGGCTGGGCGGAATAACGACCAGACTTCGGTCTTCCCGTCAGTGTTTGGAGGCGAGCGCCATCGCTGGCAATCCACGGCATGCTCGAGTATTCGATAAAGGTCGGTGGTGAAGTTCCAGCCACGCATCCACTGACTCGGTTGTCCCTTTCCACCATAAACATCATTGAGATCCACCTGATATTCATTGTCGGAGGTAAAATCGTCATTCACCTCACTCGGATAGTGCACATTAGACTGGGCTTCTCGGTAGCGGATGACTCCGCCCCATACAATGGATGAATATACATCCAGCGTATACATGGACCAGAACTAGCACGACTGTTAGACTTTGGAGCAGGTATTGTGCAAGCAAATGGTCAGATGGGTGGAAATGCTTGGCCTACCAGTCTTCTCCGGACCTCAACCTCAACGGGGCTCAAGTCTTTGGGCCAGAGCTTCTCATCATGCAGCCCTTCCATTCCAGTCAACGTATGGTAGATGCCCGCATACTGTTGCATGTCCTGGATTTGTCCATTCTGGATGCCGGCAATGCTAAGAATGGCACATGTCCTCAGGTATTCGAGACCTCTAGCTGCCGCCAGGTCTCGAGGAATAGATTCCTTTGCCGCTGTGCAGAAGACCTCAGAGGGCGGGTTTGCCAGTTGCGAGGGACACCAGCGCTTTGAATACAGGGCCCCATCACGAGCTCGCGCAGAGGCCAAGGCACACATTGCCATGGTCGACGCGAATAACCCCTGATGCTTCAGGTACTCCCTGTTCTCAAGCTGCATCAGGAATGACGACCGATGGAACAAGGGAAATCTATCAGACGGGAAGAAAAAAGCTATTAGCCCAGCTTGTCTGGCGTTTATGGATATGGAGAATAGAATACATGGGATATACAATCTCAAAATAGACATGGACGAGATCATGGATGGTGCTTTGACAACCAATAGCAAAGGCCTTCCACGAATTCAAGATCGCCCCGTCATTGTGAGTTGGGAGTGTCGTCCAGGTGCCATTTAGAATGTCCCACGGAGAATCAGCAGTACCAGGCTGCGAGATAGTATCTGGACGGGCTGAATGCGACGAGGATGATCCTGCACGAGCCAAGCCCAGTGGCCGTGTAGACTGACTTGCTGCTAAACCGGTGGTTTTGGGAGCGCCTCGCCTCCTGGCTGGACGATCATATGTACACTGTATATCAAAGTCCGCGCAGTTCTGACAGGGAGCCAGAGGGCCGTTGTTTTTATTGCATTTTATGCTACGTCGGTGGCAGAAGTCACCTGTTGGAATGTTAGAAACACCACTGGGTCTGTCTTTGATAGGAGCCACGAACAAGCCTTAGAAGCACGCTGAAGTTTCCGCGGACGTTGCGACATTCCTACGATGTGCCGACAATAGGTTGAGTGTGGAGAAGAATGGCTTTCAGGTTGTTGAGCGCGTCGATTTCGACGATCTGTGGCGGTTCGTTGCAGTGGCGGCTGCTGACCAATTACATAAGTTTCCCAGGATACTCCGTACCTATCCTATTAGCTGGGGGAATGAGGGATAGGGATACAGCTCGGCGTCGGCCGGGGAAAAGTCGGAATATGTCTTGGCATATGCTGAATGGATGGATGATATTATTAATGCTACCCGAGGTTCTGAACCCAGACGCCTGAGCGTGTACGCAGCCCACGCGAGCTTCACAAAGAGCTCACATGAGACATACCCTCTGCACGTGACTGCCAAGATCATTAATAAGCCACAACAACTCGCATGACCATTTAAATACAATACACGCGCACAT